GTGGGGTGGGGGGGGGGGGGGGGGGGGTGGGGGTGTAAATTTATAATTACAAATGTTAGTGTGTGAAAAGTGAAATCTCCCATAAGTTTGGTGTTAGGACGTAAAAATAAAAATTACGTTTTAACTCCCTAGTAAAAATAACAATTACGTTTTAACCCCCTCAAATTTAACATTACAGATCAACCCTATGCCACTGTTGGAGAAAAGCATCCCGAGCTCGAAGTCCAAACTCTTCCGAATGCTCTCAGCCGGCAGAATCTTAACCCTATCAAAAGAAATAAAAGATTCAATCTTTGTATGTTATCATGGTGCTCGATTTCTATCTACAGAATCATATGATCCTCCGTTTTCGCCAATCTCCGAACTCACGAAGTCTCCGAGACACAGGACGAAGAAACCCCGACAGGAGCATTCGGAGCCGGTCAAGGACGAGACTGCTCCGTTGACTTCGGATCTTCCGTTTGATTTCAGGTACTCATACTCGGAGACCAACCCGAATGTTCAACCCATCGGATTCCGCGAACCGAAACGGTTTTCTCCGTTCGGACCAGGTCGACTGGACCGGCTATGGACCGGAACATCGGCCCCTGCTCCGCCGGAGGCTGAACGGAACCGCTCAGCGGAGGAGAGGAGGAGGGTTCTCGGTGACCCATTAACGGCGGAAGAGTTGGGGGAGCTTGTTGAACGGTATCGCCATAGTGATTGTTCCCGGCAAATCAATCTGGGTATATCCCCTCTTCCTCGTATTCGAAGTTCATATGGATTTGAGTCGTGTTGAATAGCTTGGTCTTTGCTGATTTTCGTGGAGACGATATGGGTACTTCTGCAAATGCTAGGGTTTGCTTCACTGAAGGTTTTGGTTAGAATATTTGTTTTTTGGTACATCACAGGCTTAAGAGATCGATTAAACTTCGTTGAGGATTATGAGCTATGCTCCTATGTTCAGCAAGTTAGCAACTTTGATGGTTCTTCAATGGAACTGTGGTTTCTTACAGTATCACCAATTTGATGAATTTGGACGGCTTAGTTGACGACTTTTGAAAGGCTTTCTTCAAGTTGCTTCATCCGTTCCTTTGAGCTCCAATGGATTCTCTTATTGGATATTGCTGCTCTGACAATGGCAGATTCTCTTTCTTACTTGGGCTGTTGCAGAATAGTCTAGAGTTTTGGTAAAGGTTATGAAATAGATGAAGCTTATAGTAACAACCTATACAATGCTAGCTGTTGGATTTTCTGATTAGTCACAGATTCTCGGTTCTTGGCTGTGAGATCTCAATCCTTTCTCAACTGAGTTTTGAGATTTGTTAACTCGGTTACATGATTTTATTAGGGAGAGACGGAGTCACTCATAACATGATAGATGACATACACAACCATTGGAGGAGAGCAGAGGCTGTGAGGATTAAATGCTTGGGAGTACCGACTCTTGACATGGACAACATATGCTTCCACCTCGAGGTTACTACAGTTCAACTCAAGACAAGATCCATCCTTGTTTCTAATGCGAATCTGATTTCCGTTTGAAATTGCTTTCTGATATCGTTACTGTGTTTCGATAGGACAAATCAGGAGGGAAGATCATATATAGACAGATCAACATTCTTCTTTTGTACCGGGGCAGGAATTATGATCCCAAAAATAGGCCCGAAATTCCCCTCATGTTGTGGAAGCCTTATCCGCCCATATATCCAAGGCTTGTGAAGAATGTAGCCGATGGTTTAACGTTCGAAGAGACCAAAGAGATGAGAAACCTCGGGCTTCATTCCCCCGCCTTGATGAAACTCAGTAAGTACATATAGACATGTACATACATATACACATGCATACATGCATATATACATATTAGGGATGGGTACGGGTTGGGTACCTAGGAATTTAGGGTTACCCGAACCCAAACTTCACACGAAATACTACGTGAACTCATACCCGTTTTGGTCGTATACCCAAAAAGCGGGTGTCCGCTATAATACTCAACCCGAGATTTAGAGACAAAAAAAAAGAACCAACCCAATTCGTATCCCTATCTAGTGGAGGTATTGTGGAAGGGAATATACTAGGTCACTTTACCCCTACATTTTTAATGTAGAGAAGTGGATTCGAAACCACGATCTCAGACCACACGGTAAATGGTTTCACCGCTGAGCCAAGTCGGTCCTTCAATTGTAATCAAGACACATGTACATTACCTATCTCATACGTTTATACCCGAACCTGAATCCGAATTGTTACGGTTTTCTAAGAATTATACCCAGTCTCAACACATAAGTCTAAATACGGGTTTCCAACTCACGGATCAAGTTAGGCACGCGGATTTTGAGTTTTTTGCCTAGCCCTACTACGTACATACATACTAGTAAGTAGTAATCATGATTTTTATTCAGCTAGGAATGGAGTGTACGTTAATGTCGTGGAAAGAGTAAGGGAGGCATTTGAAAGGGAAGAGGTCGTGAGATTAGACTGCACTCACGTCGGGGCGAGTGATTGCAAAAGGCTGGGCGTTAAGCTAAAGGTACGGCCGCCGAGAACTTAATTTAGATTTTGCCTTGGGTGCCGTTTTCTTCGTTGGGAGACCAATTACGGTTATTGTATGCAACAATTGCAGGATTTGGTTCCTTGTGTTCCAATATTATTCAAGGATGAGCAGATCATACTTTGGAGAGGGAAGAGAGGTCAAGAAGAGTAACTAACGACTCCTCTGTTATCAGATAATCTGATTCAGATTCAGATCAAGTTTTGTATAACCTGACCAAGCCATTAAAAGGCACAAATTCGGTTGTTTGTAATAAGAAATAGGGATAATCGCCGTAAAATATCTGTACTTTTCCCTGATCTCAATTTAATACATGTACTTTTTTAATTACTGAATAATACTTGTACAATTGGTTTTTCTCCAAATAAATCATATACTTTCAAATTATTGCCCAAAAAATACATACCGTCAAATAACCACCACGTAGACAAACGGAAATCCTACGTGGCGACGAAATTCACAAACCTTCATCCTAATTATCGCGTCATGTCATCGACACGTCAGAAATTAAATAAAAATAAATAATTAATAAATTAATTAATAATAATAATTAATTAAATAAATAAAAATCATAAAATAAATAATAAATATATATATACACATACACATATATATACATATATGCATATATACATACGTATATAAATATATACATACACATATATACATATATATATACATATAAACACACATATATATATATACCATATATAAATATATATATATATATATATACATACACATAAATATACATATATATAAATGATAAAAATATACATATACATACACATATACACATACACATATATATATACACATGTTTATATACATACATATAAATACACATATATATATATATATTAATACATATATATAAACATACATATATATACATATACATACATATATATATTGATGAATTTGGACGGCTTAGTTGACGACTTTTGAAAGGCTTTCTTCAAGTTGCTTCATCCGTTCCTTTGAGCTCCAATGGATTCTCTTATTGGATATTGCTGCTCTGACAATGGCAGATTCTCTTTCTTACTTGGGCTGTTGCAGAATAGTCTAGAGTTTTGGTAAAGGTTATGAAATAGATGAAGCTTATAGTAATATATATATTATTTATATATGTATTGATATATATGTGTGTATGTATATATATATTGGTATAAATATATTTAATTAATTAATTAATTATTATTATTAAGTAATTTATTTTTTTATTTAATTTTTATTTAATTTTTGATGTGGCGATGACATGTCGCGATGATTAGGAGAGATGTTAAGAATTTCGCCACCACGTAGGATTTCCGTTTGTCTACGTGGCGATTATTTGACGGTAGGTATTTTTTGACCAATAATTTAAAAGTATACGATTTATTTGGAAAAAAACCAATTGTAAATGTATTATTCAGTAATTAAAAAAGTACAGGTATTAAATTGAGACCAGGGAAAAGTACAGGTATTTTACGGCGATTCTCCCTAAGAAATATGATGATGATAAAAAATAAAGTGAGACAATTTCGAAGTTTTGGGATCTTCTCATTGAAAAAAACAAAACTGGGTGTGGAAACTCACATATAAATATTTAAGTTTTATAAAAATTTTGATAAATACTAAAAATTATAAAATTTCTATATAAATACCTGAATTTTAGCTTCCTTCAGTATAATGCCTCTGGTGCATGGAATGCCACATTTTTGTTCGAAGTTGGTTGCCCCTTTGGCTTATCATATAATTCTAATTTTAATTCATGAGCAGCAAATCTGCTTAATGCACCAACTATTTCTTTGAATCTAACAATGTCTACATTGTTTACCATGGTCAATGCAGATTTATAAAATATAAACTTTTTAGGTAAACTTACAAGGAGTTTTGCTACTAGTTGTTTGTGTTGGTAGGTCATTCTAAAGACTTCAACCTCATTTGCTAATGCATTTAGCCTTCCACATAATTCTTTGACACTTTCGTTTTCGCATATCTGAAACATATTGAATTGATGATTGATTAGATCTCTCCTTGTACGTTTGACACTTGACGTACCTTCATGAATCAATTCAAGTGTATCCCTGACTTCTTTTGCTGACTTGAATCATTGAATCTGCTTGAATTCATCCTTGTCCACAGTGTTGAAGATGATGGTTATTGCCTTTGAATTCAGTGTCGATGTTCTCTTCTCTTGCGATGTCTATTCAGATATGAGCTTCAAGATCTCCGTCTCATCCTTCACGTCAGTTGGAGCACTTCATCCTTCTTCCACTGAACTTCAAACATCTTCATCAATCCCTTTGATGAGATTCATTGTCTTTACTTTTCAGAAACTATAATTCTCCGAGTCTATAGTTGTATAGTTTTTAATTAAGAGACTAAAACTCTTTTGAGTGAGTCCATATTGTATCTCCCACACGTGCACTGATATGAGAAGATTTGTTCCTACGATCAGTGACCTATTTTGATACCAATTGAAAAAGTTCGCGCCCTCAAAGAATAAACGGAATACTAACAAGTTCTATTCACTTGAGAATAATGTCAAGTACAACTCATGTACAACTCAACGCAGACGAAACTCCTCCTGAGTCCGCCTCCCTACAATGAATTCTATTGATAAAAAAACTTCACAACACTATAAACCACTCACCAAAGGAAAGAGATTTTTTCAATCAGTCTTCCTCTCAGGCACACACTCACTGAAACAACGAGTGCTCACTCATTCACAGAAAAACTCTCTTAAGTGAAAATATACTTTTGCTCTTTGAAGAGCTGATATGCACTTGTGTCTCTTTATATAGGCTCATTTTGTTTGGCCTAGATCTCTACGAATCGATCTGATAATCTTCTCCTTGATTTTCCTCAATTTGGCCTCTATCTCCAATATCTCGTTTCTATCTCAAGTTTTTTGAGTGTTTGACTCTATCTCCAAATCTTCAAGTCTATCTCGAAATCTTTCGAACTCTATCTCTTCAGATTGCTCTCCTGAAATCTCTCAAGTTTGTTGAACCTATAATAACCATTTAACAACCAAACAACAAAATAACACGTGTACAAATAATTGCATTAACAAAATCCATAAAAATTAATAAACTTATAAAATGGTGAAAAACTTTTCGTTTGGCAAATTTGTTCCCAAACTTGCAAAATATATCATTATAATTCCTAAACTTGTTAATTGGTGTTAGAAAAAACCTAAACGATATTCATTTAAAAATCAGTTTGAGAATTATAATGATATATTTTGTAAATTTAGAAATAAATTTATGAAAATAAAAGTTTAGAAATTAGTTTTTAACCATTTTACAAATTAAAATTTTTTTTATAAGTTTTATAAAACACGATATTTTCTCTTTAATTAAAGAATTTGGTGCTTGCTTAATCAATCAAATGTTTAATTATTTGTATCGAGTTTGTTAACCGACTATTTGATTCTCGAGTTAGACTAACTGAAATAGGATCAAATATTTTCCGATTCGTTTAAAAATGATTCGAACTGAAAACCAAACTCAAAACCTATAAACTCATGACAGTATGAACCGGACCGAACTGCACTGTTCCGGCTCGTTTTGCCTGGCATCAAATTTAACATGGATAATGTTGGGCCGTGTACGTAGAAGATAGCGCAGCCCAATAATATTGTTAACTTAATGGAACGTCGTCGTTTCGGTGCCCTCTTCTTTAGCGTTATCCACGTTTTATCGCCAGAGGTAGACGGAGATACTACGGTTGCAGTGTAAGGGGGAGAAGATTACGTCTAAATATGGCGGCCATGCCTGCTCTTCAGAGCTCCTTCACTTCTCATTCTCTCTCCTCCAATTCTTCCTTCTTCGGACATCGTCTCCTTCCCATGCTGTCTCTCTCCTCCGCTTCTCCGGTGAGTCCGAATTCAAATCTCTTGCCCTAGTGTTTTTAGACCGAATGGGTTCGAATTTTTTCTTCCTTTTTTTGACCATTTGCGCTGCGGATGATACAATGGCTACAAGAGCGTTTATTCTTTAGTCTAATGGAATGAGTTTTTCTTTTTCTGGGAAAAATCAAAGCCATTTCGCTTTTTGATGGGCTTTCTAGCTTTGGGGATTTGATTTTCTGTCGCATTATCCATAGTTTATTTTCACTTGTTAACCCTTGGTTTAGGAAACTGCAATTTTGTTGGGATTCAATTGAAACAATCCTATTTGGGGTTTCCTTTGACCCTCTCTACCAATTTACATTCTTCCATACTCTGGTGCTGAATTTGCCATATTTTCCTTCTCTATCGTGTATTTTATTTTCTCTCCATGGATAAAATCTACATGCAATGCGATGCAATGACTTGCTGTTGACAGCCGTAACTAAATGCACCACATGCTGGTTTGTGATATAAATCTCTGTATGTGTAAGTACACGAGGGTTTGGTTTGGCATCTTTGTATATCTGTCCTTACGCTGGTAATTATTTTTTGGTGCTTATCGCAGGTCAAGCCCACTGAGAAACCATGTCTCACTGTTGCAAAGGTTGGCATCTACTTGTTTTGCTTTACCTCATTTTCTGGAATTCAGTCCATGTTCCCTATTTCTTTGTTAGCTTAAGCCAGAAGAAACAGGGCATTAGACTATGCGGATAATGTTTGAGGCTCTTCAGCCGTAAAAGTGAAAGGAAATTCTTAATTTTTGACAGAATAGATTCAAATGCTCTATGGCTTATTATGAGCTGCAAGAGTAGAAAAGCATGTGCGGTTGTTCCTTGAGTTTATCAGTTCACTATTCACTGGCAGCACTGCACATTTATGATGATGACTCTGTTGTATGATTTTCCATCAGCTCAAGCGTTGGGAACGCAAAGAATGCAAACCAAACAGCCTCCCTCTTTTACATAAAATGCATGTCAAGGTTGGAGATACTGTCAAGGTAATATCTGGCCGAGACAAGGGTAAGATCGGGGAGATCTCCAAGATCTTCAAACACAACAGCACCATAGTTGTAAAAGAGATAAACCTCAAAACAAAGCACATGAAGAGCCGAGAGGAGGGGGAACCCGGCCAAATTGTCAAGGTTAGCTCGTTTATATATCATCCTCTATTCTTAAACCGATAAATATATGACATCATTTACAGAAGAATGCCCTTCTTGTTCATTTGGCGGCCTTTCCACACGCCCCTTTTTGCTAAAAGTTGCACTAAACTTTTTATCCATGACTAGTATACGTACACACTCCATATCATCCTTCCTCACTTTCCATGTGTCGAGTTCAAGAACTGAACGATGGGTGTTTGGAAATCTTTCACTGTTTCCAGGTTGAAGCACCGATCCACAGCTCGAACGTGATGCTGTATTCGAAAGAACAGAACTTGGCGAGCCGGGTGGGTCACAAAATCCTTGAAGATGGGCAGAAGGTAAGGTACCTCATAAAAACAGGGGAAATCATCGACAGTGCAGAGACATGGAAGAAACTTAAGGAAACTAAGGATAAAGAAACCACTGAAGTAGCCACCACTTCGGCCGCTGCTTCTTAGCATCTCAATCTCCCTTCTTCTTCGTCTATCTTCCCATTTAGTTCTTCAAGCTGTGTATTACGAGGTTTCTCGGGTTTCCTTGTATTGAACTCTGTGTTTGAAGTCACCTTAGAGTGAAAAGAACGCCAGTTTGCCCCCGTGTTGACAAACTGGTTGACGTCAGGGCTGGGGATAACTTCAGGATTACACCTTTGGCGTAGCATTTGCTATGAACAATACACCTTTAAAACATAAGGAATTATCAAATTAGCATCCTTAATGAAATAGAACGTGTGACATATACACATGCGTAGATTAAAAAAATCCATTAGCGTAGATAAAGAAGACTTAGGTTTTTTTATTGTAAATTCGAAAAAAAAAATCAGAGAAAGAAATGACCGCGAAAGAAAAAGAGAGAGAAGTTCAACAAACGAAACTTATGCGAAATCGAAAAAAATCTAGCAAAATCCGCCGAAATTGAGTGAAAAAGTTTAGAATCGAGAAAAAAAAATAGAGGAATCACCTTCGTCTTCGCCGAATGTGGAGGGCTCAAGTTCGACGGGTGCATCTGGATCGGTCGAAAGAGTAGATCCAACGAGGTTTTCCCTGATACAATTGTAAGTATTTCGGTTGATTTTTCTTTGAACGAATAGGTCGAAAGAGCAGATATGGGTTGAAAATTTAGTTTGGATTTAAAGTTTGAAAAGTGTGGTTGACGAGCAACAGTTGAAATTTGATTTCAGTCGATCATTTGTTCGGAATCGTTGAGATTATGTGATGGTTTAGGGTGATATTCGTGCATAAATGCTATTTTGTCGCATTTGCAATTTAAATTGTAAAGTTTGTAGTGTGAGTAAAATAGTCGTAGTTGCCACAAAATATTATAGAAGTGTTGGGTGCAAAGTATTTTATACATAATAGTATTTGAATATATATTTTAGTTATAAAATGTAACTGAATGCACTCGTTCCATTGTAGTTGGTATGTCTTGTATAAAGATTGATCTTTGCAGATGGCAAAAAATGAGAAAACTTGGTCTAGATCTGTAGCTGAGAAAAGAAGGAGAGAAAGAGGCGGTGAAAGAAGCAGACAAATATAGTGTGGAATAAATCTGGAAGCTTTCAAATTAGACTAAAGGAAGACATGGAGCACGCGTCAAGGTCTTCCTGAAGAGAAAGTGCTTTATATGCATTATTTAGACAGACACGACGAGGCAAAAGGGAAAACATGAGACGATGTATTTGTGGGCAGAGACCATCAATCAGTGTGTTCGTCGCTTCTAGTGGCAGCTTTTCCCTTCTTGGCCCTTGATTCCTTGGTCAAGAAAGGCTTCTCTGTATCGCCACAGATATCGAGATGAACGCCGGGGTCGTGGGTCTCGTACTCGCCTCCCATCATAATGGAGTTGTTCACCGCTTGAAAATTGCTGTTCGCGAACGTGCTCAGGAAATCTAGATTGCCGTCTCTGTCGCTGTCCCCATCGAGCTCCGTCTTCATGGTGGCTCCGATGTTGGAGCCAGAGAGTGTGATCACTCTCACCCCATGTTCGTCCTCGTCCTCCAAGTGGCTGGAGCCTGGCTTGTCTGCCCCCATCTGGCTCAAGGCAGATATCATGTTTCTGAGATCACGGTCAAATGGTTGTCGCTGCCTCTCTCCTTGGCCGCCTGAGTTGCTCAGCTTCATCCTTTTGTTCGTTTAAGGAAAGACAAGCTGACGTTTTTCAATAGAAACAAAAAAAAAAAATGAAATCTGATTGAGAATGAAGAGAGGTGGAATGAGATTACATAAATATATATACATATAGCATACATGTACAAGGAAGATATAAGCTAATGGTGTATTGGAATAAAGGACGAGGGAATTAATTGCCTTCTGGTGCAATCAAAGCATCGGGGCTTGGTTGGAGTCGTCTAAGCCAAGGCAGAATTGCTTTCCAAATGGTTCAAGAATCATTTGGTAATTCTCGCCGCTCAGGTTCGTAATCACTATGGGGATCTTACATTTTAAAAAAGAAAACTAGTGGAATCTCCACGGATGCATTTCCGCGCCGTGATTGTCCGAGAGTTCATGTCCGAAACATTTTGGATCGAGGGGAAGCTCGTCCGTGACCGTCTAAAATCGAACATGCCTAGGAATTTCGGGTCGAGTGCGGGAGAGTCGTACAGCATTGTCCGGATCTGTCCAGAGTCGTCCGGACAGTTTCAGAAGGTTCCAGAACATGTCACAGGTTCGCGAACTTTAGGTGTTGATGAGATTGTGACCCAAATTTCATTTTGCGTTTGGATAGTTACAAATTTCATTTGATTCTCTTCTATCTGTCAGTGATTTTTTTTTCTCTCTTTAGAGTTTTCACGTGAGTCACAGGTACAAATAATCCAGATTTCATGGTCAAACGGACGGAGCGGATCTTCAGCCTTGGCTTCTTGGACTTGGTTAGCATACCGTTCAAACGGGCTCGGACTTGATCGTGGTGGTTAGCACTTGGCAGATTTCTCAGGCCGGAGTTGGACTAGGTCTGTGCGCGCTCGAGCTTAGTCAGCATGCGTCTGCGATAATCTCAGATGTGTCCAACTTCATCTGCATATGTCCTTGATTGAGTCCGGTCTTCACCCGTCTCTCGTGTGTCCGGTCCGTCTTTTCCGCGTGAATCTCGGCCCATGACCGAGAATCTCAGCCTCCTCGTTTTTTTAGGCGTAAGAAAAGATGTTTCTTCAAATTTTAACCTGAAAGAATGAAGTTATGAATCAGTGATCTATCTGCTCATACAAAATTATATCCTTAAAAAACAATAATTGCGGACTTGGTGAAACCTGAGTAGGTTCACAGAGCACGGGGCATTTCAACGTCCTGCCTTGTAAGGATGGAAGAGCACATTGGATGTTCCTTGGCAGTTTTGCATGATTAGTTTTCTGAATTCCTTTCCCAATTGTGTGGGTTAAATAGAATGTTGGGTCAGAGGTTTCATAGAAAGAAGCCCATAGAAACAACAAGACAACAGTGTGTCAGAACAAGTAACATTAATTAAAGCGAAGGAGAAAGAAGGTGAAGCAAAAAAAGAAACAAAGTGGTGAAGAAGACGACCGGTGTTTTCGGCGACGTAGAAAGTCGAGGGCCTCCAAGATGCTCAAACCCTTAGACAGTCGGCAAGAAAAAATGAAACGGGACAAAGAACGAGAGATGGGTGCGATGTCGATGGAGTCGCTTCCTCTTGGGTTTAGATTCAGACCCACCGACGAAGAGCTCATCAACCATTACCTCTGCCTCAAGATCAACGGCCGTCACTCGGATGTCCAAGTCATCCCTGAGGTGGACGTCTGCAAATGGGAGCCATGGGATTTACCTAGTTCGTCGTCTCTCTTCTTCGCTTTTGTTTTACTTTTATATCTATGTGATTCCTTTATTCCTTACTTCTTCTTGGAATAGATTCCTCTTTCGTGATCTGGGATTCTGCTAAAAAATTCCTCCTTTTTTTTTTTCCCGGAAAGGGCGATGTTCTCGAACCCATCCCATTGATCCCGTTGCCCAGAAATGAAGTCGCGTCTTTTTTTCTTCGGTTGCAAATCAATAAGAAAACAAGAGATTGATGAACGAAAATTTGTCGGCAGGTCTCTCGGTGATAAAGACGGACGACCCAGAGTGGTTCTTCTTCTGTCCTCGTGACCGCAAGTACCCAAACGGCCATCGCTCCAACAGAGCCACTGACTCCGGCTACTGGAAAGCCACTGGTAAGGACCGAACCATCAAGTCCAAGAAGACTCTGATTGGCATGAAGAAGACCCTTGTCTTCTACCGCGGCCGAGCTCCCAAGGGCGAGCGCACCAACTGGATTATGCACGAATATCGTCCCACCCAGAAGGAGCTTGATGGCTCTGCCCCCGGCCAGGTCTGCTTATGTTGTTGATGTCTTGCGAGTTTATGTTCTGTCTTGTTTGTGCTCTGCTCACTCTGATCCCTCTGCAGAGTCCCTTTGTTCTGTGTCGACTTTTTCATAAGCCGGAGGATAGGGTTAATGGTGTAAAGTCCGATGAAACTGAACGCATTGGATCAACTCCTAGTACTAGCAAGTCCTTGCCTGATGAAGCCTCCTCAGATCTTGTCCAAGAAACTGCTACCTCTGATTTTGCAATCGAGAAGCCATTAAATGATTCCAAATGGTTCTCTGGAAAGTGTGATGAAGCCAACGCTGATAGTATGCTAACTGACGGGAGATATGACTATGGTCACATGAACTCCGAGGATACCGAAGATTATATGGCACATGAGACTCTGGTTGAGGTAGGACACCGGATAGTGCCTGTGTTTGCAATGTCTTAATAAATGCCGGGACTTCACCCGTTTCCTAATTAATCGTTGCCTGCACATTTTTCCCAGGCCTATGCTCTGCATGGACAGAATCCGAGCCTGAGTTGGCTCACCTGTGAGCCTGTTGATCAAACAGTGCCATTGCATATGGATTCTCCTTATGCTTGTGATTTCGGGGATGATATCGTCGGGTCTCAGTTTCAAAATGGCACTAGCGAATTGGATGTATCCTTAACAGAATTGTTGGATGAGGTATTCAACAACCCAGATGAGTCATCTTGTGAGGAGTCAGCCAGTCAGAAAAACTCAGTTGAACTAAGCGGAATCTCGCCAACCAGAAGTGTGTTGCCACTGCAGTCTGTAGCGCCAGATAATGCTTTCCTTGATGACATTGGTACCTTTAGTGATTCAGATGCTGAGATGGTGCATCTGCAGGTGAGCACATCAAATGCAGAAAATAAATATTTTCTTGGAATCTCAGCCTACATTTTAATACATTTTGCCATCAGTTGTTTGCTCGATCAGAAACCGTCGAAGAATGTGCCAAATGTTCAGTTTTCCCTTTCTCTTTAGTAAAGCCTCTGGACATGTTGAATTAGTTTCTTAGTTTGGGTATCAGTCTGACGTTATTTTGCCATGATGCAAGATTGATCATTGCTTCACTATTTCTATGAACAGTATGATACAGATTTTGGAGCTTCAGGGTGGTACCCTGAGAGGAAGGAATCATTGCAGATGAAAAATTCATTTGGGTCAGTATATGATCAAGTTGTTCAAGATGACGCTTTCTCTGGTTACCCAGCCAGGCCATCACATTATAACCATTTCCTTCATCCTGAGGTGATGAGCAACCAAATGATCCCTGAAAGTAACTTCAGTGACGGGACTGGGATCAAGATTCGGGCCCGACAGCCTCAGAACCGACCAAATGCAGGATTTGTAAACCAGGGCACTGCTCCAAGGAGAATCCGTCTGCAGATGCAGCCTAACGGTGTCCCACCTGTTGAAACGAAGCCAGGTGAAGTTAAAGAGGGAGTGGAGACTCTTGATCAGAATGGTGTGCCTGAGGTGCAGGACAAATATTCTGGTGGATCTGTCTCGAAACCAACATGCATGTTACCCTGTGGCTCGTACCGTGAGCATTATTTGCAGGCGGGAGAAGATGAAATTAAACAGTCAGCCACTGATGAATATGTTGGTAAACCTCAAATCAAGATCAGATCCCAAAGAAGTCGAGACCGAGTGAAACCAGACACTGTCCGGGAGCAGGAGGTAAGTACCAATGATCTACTGTGAGACAAGTCGGTTATGATGTGAATTCGTGAAGTGAGAACATATATCTGGAGTCAATGAACTAATTCGGTGTTGAATTGATTAGATCTAGTGTTTGTTAAAACATTAGGTTAGATATAGCCATGACTCATTAAGCGAAGATGCCAATGGAAGCCTAATGACGTTTTTAATTGGGTGTCTGCGTGCAAAATTTCTGCACCAGGGAATCTTACGAAATGTTAGGGCTAGAAATTTGATTTCCGTTGAGTGCAAAAGGCTATCTGGGATTGCATCTGCAAACGAAAGATTGAGAAATGTAAGTGAGCTATATGTGAAAGGGAGCGTTTTTGCATAGATCCACTGGTTTGGACAGAACAAAAATACCTTGGAGACCATTTACGTTCCCATTAGGCGGGCGAGGTGATGTCTCAAAATAAGAAGGTTAATAAGAGTGTGTTTGCAATGGTGCAGGCATCAGATGAAACCGCAGGGCAAACATGGTGTGGCTCAGAAGAGACTGAGGTGGTGAAGAGAAGAGAGCGTGGAGTGTGGGCTGCAGTGGCTGCGGCTGTAGCTGCGGCAGCGGTGGTGGTGGGAGTGATGGGGTGGTGGATGAGCCTGGGCTCATGACAGGAGGCTTTGTGTCATTGAGATGTTGTGTATTATATAATACATGTCAAAGTAGAGAGAAATGTGTAACCTATCTTGTGTAGGAAAAAGTGTTATGTATAGTAGGGGGAACCCGTAAAGAGATCATGTTGCCTTATAACACGTTATATATAAAGAATGCCCATCATCTGGATTTTGCTTGACATATATGTAATCAAAAGTGATGGTTTTTCGCCAAAACTAAATTTGGGGGAAGCTTCCGACAATATCCTATGATTTGGAAACTATTTCAGTTTATCTATCTGTCCAAATAATTAAGGGGTAATATCGCCGTTGGTTCAAGGCAGCAGCCCCTAGTTCCAGAGCCTGTTTCAGTGGTGGTTTGCGTGGGCATACATATATACATACACACATACGATATATATACATATATATGCAAAACTTACATACATGTATATGTATGTGTGTATATTAGAGGTGTCAATTTCGAAGTCCGGTCCATCCTCATCCGAAAAATATCGGATTTTGAGTCTAAATTTGTAGTTCCGAATCAAATCGAGTTCAAATCGGGTTTTTGATTGGCCCGAAAATTCGATTTAATTTAAAAAATAAATACAAAAAATGTCAAAATATACATAATAAAGACGTCGAACCGGCTGGTCCGATCCGACCCGAGCCTGAATTCGAGTTCAATAAGGTTGCGTGGAGACTTCGGTTTGTTTGGGTCGCCCGTTTGATATCTTAATTTATATATGTATATGGATAGAGATGTAAAAATAAAGGCCTCGAACGGACCATTTCATGGTTCGTCGAACTCGCTCATCTCAGAACTTGTGGCTATGGCGAGTTGGCTCGTTAACTCATTTATAAATATCTTCAAAATGTCAGCTCAATTCGTCAAAAAATGGGTCGGTAACAAACCAAGAAATAACTAAATTATTTTGGAGCCGCCGAGATAGTCTGTTGGCTCATCGTGTAACTAAATTATTTGCACCAAAGAATATACACAGCCTAATACCAATAAACCATTTTTTTCTCCAACTTATATTATTGAAAATTATGAAGACTTTCACTTGCTATAAAGTTTAAATATTAGTATATTTTTTATTTGCATTGGATTTATCGATTTCTTATTATATTGGAAGAAGATTTTATTGAAAATTAAAATACGGAAGTAAAAAAACAGAAAATTGTTTATCACTACATCTCTTCTTTTTTTTTCTCTTTACAATAAAAATAATTCATATATTTATAGAAAATAATAACAAAATAATTTAAAAAATAAGTTTACAAAGAAATATTACATGATGAAAACAAATAAATCAAGAGATAATTGACACAATTATCATTATTTATTAATTGATTTTATATTTTTTATTTCTCTCAAGTATCTTCATAATCAATTTCGAACTTCTTACATGTATATTTGTTTTCTCATTTCAACATTCCTCTCTCAAAATTGATTTGGTGATAATGTAAAAAATCAATATTGGAGAAAATATCTAAAATTATTCAAAAACACAGTGAGTAATTCATTATTAATAGAATAATTCATACTAGTCTGGTTTTTGAAAGTTTTGATCCATCTTCAAATAAGTTCTTTTGATCATGAAGTCCTATATTCATCTCTTTTTATCATAATATTTCATTTGATCTTAGAGTTTTTTTTGTTTTGACTCCTGTTGTCATAGTACCTCATTTGATTTTGAATTTTTTTTTCACTTTAAACCACTTGCATATATAAATATTAAGAATTGAAAAACGAAGAGAGTAAAAAATAAAAACCAAGAAAAAAAGAAACATATATATCAGATCGTAACATTACTCTAATACCATATTAAAAATTAAAATAGAAAAACAAAAGAAAAGAAGAAGAACAGAAAATCGTTTATTACTATATCTGTTTATAATAAAAATAATTCATATATTTATAAAAAACAATAACGAAATACTTAACGGAAAAAGTTTATAAAAAATAATATATAATGAAAACAAATAAATGAAAAGATAATTGATATAATTATCATAATTTATTTTTTTGGTAAAAACAATTATCATAATTTATTAATTGATTTTGTGTATTTAACTTATATCAATCATCCTCATAGTTTTTTTCTATTAAAACTTTGAACGTGTGTATGTATATAGTGTAATAATTTCTATTTTTCCTAGTCCGTTGAACACATGGGTGCAAACGTTTATCCATCGTCTCAATATACGTGGGACCTCCCATCAATTTTCTTGAATACATAAATAACTAAATAAAGGTCTTATAATAATATTGTAACACATCTTGGTATTAGTATATATTTCAAGAAAATTTAACAAGTTAAGCCGATTCGTATTGGCATTCTTGCTTTATAATTTATATAACCCTGCAACGCTCTTAAGGCTTCCGTAATGTCGTCCCTACAATACATACAGAGAGATCTTTTTCTTTAATTAAAAAGAACATTAAAATTATAAAATTATATTCGAGTGTATATAAACTAGGTAAAATTAATACCATTCGCCTATAAAATAAACGGACAGCGGTGAAATCGAAACGGGTATCTATGCGATGAATGTATAATCATCACTATATTGTCTCTTGATCATCTATATGATTAATAAATATACCTTTGCATCAATATATTGCACATTTCTCGGGAAAAAAGTGGGAAAGCTTAGCATATATAAGAGTATGGCAAATTCGGGATTAAAAAATCTCTAGGTGGATAAGGTTTTCCATGAATTAAGGGTTGAAACACACACTACGCATGAATTTGAGATGTATATAATATTTAATATGAATAGTGATACCAACCACTTTTCTCAATATTATACTAATCCCAAAAGCTCCCTCCCACTCACTCGATAATAGTTAGGTAAAGCCCAATCATAATATTCTCCCTTAGAAAAACTTCTAAAGTTTTTTTTTTGATAATCAGTTTCCAAACCTTTTGATTCGACTACATCTATCCTAGAATCGGGACCAATCTTTGTATATAGACCATTTTGGTCCAGAAATTACATCCATCCTTACCGGTGTAATCGAATTCAGGATCTTTAAAATGACTTTATCACCTCCCAACCACTGAATTACAAACTGTTGGATTAAAAAAACTTCCAAAGTTACTAATGCTACGACAAAAGGCCTTCATATTCTTCTATGTTCAGAATTTATGAATTTTTGAAAGATGGAACACAGTTTAACAAACTCAAAATGAGCATCGAAAGTTTCTGATGAGATATATACACTAATGAAAGTTTTTTTTTGATAACCGAATATCGTAGGTTGAAGTCCAGACTAATGTCAGGGACGGGTCAACCATGTGATTTGAATTATGCGCTCCTTTTTCAACTAGAGACTTGAGCACGGGATGTGGGAGACGTTTTGCGTTCCCGTTTTACCGATTGAGCTAAAAGTTAATTTTGATAATAGAGAAAAACTGAAAAAATCTCTAATTAAGGCTAAGTATTAATTGGGAGGACCGCAAAACAGGCATGGAGAGGCTTCAGCGTGGGAGATATTTTAATGTATAGGAAAAAAAGGTAGGGATCAAGAGTATCGTTCTTGTGGGGGGGGGGAGAGAAAGCTGACTAAGGTGTTTCAGGAGGAATATGTAATGAAATAATGTAAACAGCTTTTAATATTTGGAATCTTGGAATCGGAATATCATTCAGTGTCGGTGTGCGTGTGAAGCAGCGGCACATGCTCATCCTCTTGTGTTTGCATTTTTAACGTACGATCACCAGCAGTGGCCTAATCGATCGATTCGAACCTTATGATTCTCTCCTAGACACAGAGCCACAAATATCAATGTGAAACACATCCTTCAATCTATGTCACGATACATATGCGTGGGAATATCGCGTTTGCTGGGATTTTTCTGGTTCGGATGACATGACACGTGGCACTCATCGTTTTCAATGTATGGAATATATTAATGTTTTTTTAAATCTAAAAAAGAGAGATTTTCAGGAATATATCATCATATCGACTTTGCATCAAAACCCTGTGACCCAAAGAGCGATATATATGTCATCCGACTTGTGTTGGTAAATTTTTATTTTATATGAATAAGAAATGATTGCATATATAGTGCAGTGACCAAGGCCATTTAATTTCTGTATCCCAATTCATCCATATATCACGCGAGCATATATTATATTGTTTAGGTTTAGCACCTCTATACTAAACCCTAGGTAGGGGGTGACCCACCCAGACAGAGAACTTAGGCTTATTAGAGATTTAGAATCATCATTGAAATGGCCCTACATTTACCATTCATCAAATTTTAAATTTTTTATGCAAACATTTATTTATGAATTATTATCATCCAGTTGCAAAGTCATGGGCGCCCCTTACATTGCTTATAAACCCATCTTACCCACTGAAGTAGTGTTGTGTTATGTCTTTGGAATATATTATCTCGTAGAGATAACAAGGAAAGCGATTCCAAAGGAATATCTTTTCCTCGATCTTATGTGAACCCTTCATGCAATTCCTCGGGGTGATTGTTTACATATATGCATATATAACTTGCTCCTTAAGTTTTTGATCTGAGATATTATATCTTCCTGGTTGTAGCGTGTGTTATATATAGACTTGGGAGAGATGGGTAGTTCAATAACAAGGGGTTTAAGCTCCATAATATCGACCATAGCGTACTGTTTGTCCCTTGGGTATCCAGAGAAGAAGCCAAAGATCAAAAGGGTCAGCCACATCAACTACTACGCCATGCCAAGGGGTCGCCCACTTTCTTTACAGGTTTGCTCGTTTCCTTTTCTTTCTCCCCTCTTTTAAAAAGAAGAAGAAAAAAAAAACTTAATCTTGGCGTGTTCCGGAAGCGGAAGGGGGCTGTCCTAAAGAGAGTTATTAACCCCCAGATCAATTCTCTCCCTACTCGACGCTATTAGATCATATATCTCGCAGTTCGTAATCGTTTCTATTTAGTATCACTATCATCCTTGAGCCAAGTTAACCTTTTTATGATCAATATGTTGGACCTTTGCAGCGTACATAGATTTACGTGCAACGCCAAAACATTTGAATTAGAAGACTATATATGTAAATGTATACTGGCAAGGGATTTTTCTAGATTCTTTGATGTAGTGGGACAGGTTAATTAATCAGTACTAGGATTAAATTTCTGGGGCTCGTTTGGATCGCGAATCTAACATTCCCGGGGACAAGAATTTGAAAGTAATTAGCGTTCCTTAACCCTTTGGGCTTCCTAAAAGATTCTCACGAAAAAGGAATGATAAAGGAGAGTTTCGAGAAAGTATAACTTCAGGGGACATGCGTCTTCTGACGAAAATTAAAAGCTTTTGAGCGGAATCGGACCATTCCGATGCCGAATATCATCTCTGTCTCAAGAATATGGATGTTGCTGCTAGCTAGTTTTTTTTTTTTTTTGGTGAATATGTACAAGTTCTGATATATTAAATTAGATTTCCGTGTGATTGAGACAGACCATAGATCTGAAGGTTAGGATGTGCTGCTCGGGCTGCGAACGAGTCATCAAGAACGCCATTTACAAGCTCAGGGGTAGGTCAAAATGTTCATGTATTTTTGCTTGGGATAGTTAAGAATTCATTCCCGACATAAGACAAGGGTAACTCAACGATGCGTGGCCAGTAGAAGTCGACTGATATGCGAGTTAGGAGAGTTAAAGTTTGCAACTTTACGCCTTACTAGAGAAATGACTGAGTTGGTGGATTGTGAAAACAGGGGTGGACTCAGTGGAGGTGAACCTGGAGATGGAAAGAGGGACGGTGGTTGGGTATGTGGAGAGGAACAAGCTCCTGAAGGCTGTCCGAAGGGCCGGGAAGAGGGCTGAGTTTTGGCCCTACCCCGACATCCCTCTCTATTTCACTTCGGCGGAAAATTACTACAAAGACACCACCAAGGAGTACAAGGAGAGCTACAATTACTACCGCCATGGCTACAACATGAGCGACCGCCACGGCCACGTTCATGTCACCCATCGCGGTGACGACAAAGTCAGCAACTTTTTCAACGACGACAACGTCAACTCCTGTCGTATTATTTGATCTCCTTGTATTTCGTCATATCCAATATCCACTACTGGTGGACAATCATTGAAGCTCCCTCCAGCTACATGTATATCACAACTGCCATTCAATTACAACCTTGTAGTAGTACTACTACTAAAATGTGTTAGTTGGCCGTTGGGTCGTATGGGTTTGGTCTAGCTGGCATTTGTGTCCACGATATTCAGGAGGGTTTTGCTTTGTTAGATAGATGAAGACTAAGGAGCGTTACACAGCCAAGCGACTAAACTATAGGCTATGAGACATGTGAATACCCCTTTCGGCCCAAATGGCCTGATAGAGCAGAAAACATGTTTGTGTCTCAACCGGCTCAACATCCACGGGAACATATCATACCATATATACTAAGAGGCGATGGTCACATGCCCATGTCAAAAGAGGAAGAGGCCTAAGGTTTCTTCAAAAAGAGAAGGGTAGAAGAGAGATGCAAATTATTTATCACGCCCCTCAAATCAATTGTGTTTGACATAGTTCATTTTCTTCTAAAAAAATGGATTGGAACGCCTCATCATTCAAACTCCATATATATGATGACTGTTTGAGTTTGAATTCTGAAATATCTGAACTTTTAAAAATTCTATATAAATACCTAGATTTTTAAAAAAATTTCCAAATAAATACAAATTTTAGGTATTTTTCAAATAAAAATAGGTGATATCATTAACAGATTTTGGGTTTATTTGAGAGTTTTTCAGAAGTCTAGACATTTATGTAGGATTTTAGAAAAGTTCAGGTATTTCTATGAAAATTTTATAATTCATATATGTATCTCGGATTTTTATAAAAGTTTAGATATTCATATACTATTTATCTATTTATTTATTATTACTTTATTATTTTTAAATTTTATGTGATATAAACATTTGGATAAAAAAGTATTTATTTATTTAAATTTTTATATTACTGTTTTGATGTCAAAATATGAATATAGATGTTATTATTTTATATGTTAAGATAATTATGATAGTATTTTATGTTATATTTTGCTTGAATATTTTTTATTATAAATGAATTGATTTTTTTAATATTAATAACCAATTTCAATCTGAAATCCAATCGAATCTTTATTAGGTTATAGTTTAGTTATAGTTTTAAACAGATAAAATTGAATCGAATTGAATCAAATCGAATAAAATTAATTAACCGTTTGATTATAATTTTGTATAATACAAAATAATCGTAACCCATTAACGCGTTAGTCCACCCCACGTGAAACCACGGAATTTTGATTTAACTATAAAACACAATGTAATTTTTAAGCCCAAAGATTAAAAAGAACCCTAAATTTGCAATGCATCGACTGCAACGGCACCAGCAATTAAATGACAAAAATTGGGCTATTAATGGGCCGAAAATGGTCTATTTAGAATTGAGACTGGGCTTTAAGAGCTCAATAGTAGGCAAAAGCCATAAAGGAGACATCATTGCTAAAGGGGTTTTCCGTCGGGGCTCGATTAGGGTTTTGTCGAGGGAGAGAGAGATGGACTCGTTCTCGTCGGCGCCGATGGGTTCTGGATCGCCGCAGATGTCGACTGAGCAAATTATGGATCAGGTCAAGACTCAGCTCGCTCAGGCTTACGCCGAGGAGTTCATCGAGGTTTCTCCTTTCTCTTTCTGTGCTCTTTTGTGCTCTGTCTTAAGGGACCTCAGTGCAATGCAAGTAGTCGCCCTTAGATGTTTCCTCCTCCGACCTATCGATTTAGCTTCTTTTTGCTTCATGTTTCCGTATATAATTGAATAAGTATTGTATTTTTCCTCGGTTGATCTTTTGATTAGACGGATTCCCGGGATATGCAGTACGCTGTTTTTGATGTGTCGCTCCGAAAGAAACTATTCAATCAAAACCTGAACTGTATAGTAACTTTTGTCACAATAAATCCTGATGTTTGATCATAAATATATGTATTTTTGTCTGTGTGGCCTTGACTTGCATGTTCTGTGTGACACTCTTTTTATCTAGTGAGAACGAAGTTCTTATGACAGAGCATTGGCTTTCCTTTTAATTCCTTGTGAGAACGAAGATGTGTTCTAATCCAAGTATTCATGATCATGTTGGGCAGACGCTGAGAGAAAAGTGTTTCAGCAAATGCATAACGAAACCAGGATCAAGCCTCAGCGGGAACGAGAGCAGCTGCGTTTCGAGATGCGTCGATCGCTACATCGAGGCCACGGGAATCATCAGCCAATCCCTCTTCAGCCAACGTTGATCGGAAGTGGCCAGTAGAAGTCGACTGATATGCGAGTTAGGAGAGTTAAAGTTTGCAACTTTACGCCTTACTAGAGAAATGACTGAGTTGGTGGATTGTGAAAACAGGGGTGGACTCTTGTTGTGTTTAACTGCAATGACTCCTCTGCCTTAATATCCACCCACCCAAGATTTGGCCATTTCATCTTTTCTCTTGTGTATGCGACTGAAAAAAAACATCGGCATTGAGATTATGTTGTCCAAGAGTTGACGTAGAAACCGGAACTATGCTCTTCAAGCGTTGTCCAAAAAGGGAGAGGAAAGACGAGAATCTTAACTGACATTGATTAAAGAAACCGGCAGACAACGTTTATCCCAAGTAAAATAAAACCTTCTCAAGTTACACAGATTCATAAACCAAACTCATTGCCGTTCGATCTGAATTGTCACATGAGTTATGTTGAACTCCCTCTTGATGTAGTCTATAACTTTGTCAAGAACCATATCTGCATCCGCCTCAGGCCTGATCTTAACATGACAAGCCAACAGTACTTTCCCAACAGTGATTGCCCAAATGTGAAGCTCGTGAACTGCCACAACCTCGTTCATCTCGCACAGTCCCTCCTCAAGCCTCGTGGCGTCTATCTCCCTTGGCGTAGACTCCATCAGCACCTCTAGAATGTTCCTCAGCATTCTGATTGTGGTTCCCAACACGATCACTGAGAAAACTAGAGTGCATATCAGATCAATGATCTTCCACTCGGGCTTGTACCATATGATTGCCCCTCCTATCATCACACCAACGCTCTGGATTGAATCTCCAAGCACGTGAAGGTATGCTCCCTGTACATTTATGTTCCGTTGCTTCTCTAGCTTGATCTCATTTCCTTGACAGTTTTCAGCTGCAGGGCCTTTCTCAAGAAGAGATTCAGATAGGCGTAGTTCATCCGTGTTTTGGTGACTGTGATGATCATGCCCATGTGATGAATTACTGTCATGATGATGGTGATGATGTGTTGTTATTGTCAATCCATGGCCATGGCTGTGACTATGGCCATGATCATGACCGTGACCGTGACCATGATCATGACCCAAAAGAAGAGCCATTGCAATGTTTACAAGCAAACCAAAAGCGGAAACAATGAACATGAGAAAGCCCTGAACTTCACCGGTGTCGTTGATAAGCCTAGCGATTGCTTCATAAACTAATATACCTGCAAGAAGCCATATCATCTGGATAGAAACAAGAGCGCCAAGAATCTCGATTCTGAAGAAACCATAAGATTGGCGTGGGTTGGCCTCCCATCCTGAGGCCCAGAGTGAGAAGAGGGATATCGCAAAAGCTGCGACGTCTGACAACAGATGAGCTGCGTCTGTCAGAATCGCAAGACTGTTAGCTTTGATCCCTCCAACGACTTCTACAGTCATGAAAACAGCACAGAGCAAAACAGCCATCAAGAGCTTTCTCATAGAGGCTGCCCGTTCTTTCGCGTCCATAGAACTCGTCTTGGCATCAGAGAACCCACATGGCGCTTCTCCACACGATTTGATTCCCCCAAGGCTCGTCTCACCAGATGATATGTCTCCACAAATCTCAACCATGTGTCCATGTTCATGTTCATGTCCATGTCCCTGGTTATGCCCTCCCATAATGTGTTTATGTTCATGGTTTTCTTCTTTCATCTGAAAAAAAAAACCCAAAAAGAAAATATCTGAAAGTATCCTTGCAGATTCAAGCACATTGACGACCGACCATTGTAGATCAGATTGTGAAACATTATATTAAAGTCTAACACTGTCATTCGTAAGTCTAGCACTTGCTTCACAAAAGTAAGATCCCAGCAAGAACTAAGAAGCCAAATCATCTGAATCAAAACATGATATCTAAGAACAGAACTGGAATTGCAGGTAGAGAATGAGATTAATCTCTATTATCAAACATCCGTTAGAGCTTCTATATGCAATGCTTAAAACAACAGGCAGCGCAAAATCATCTAATCTGTCCAGGGACATAATGGGGAAATAATACCTAAATCACACTATGATATGTTGGAAATAAAGACAATAAATTAAAATCTAAAGCAGGAGCCGTTTAGACGACCCTGAGCATAAGCACGAACACCGCAATGGAAAATACAGCGACACAGAGACTGAGAGAGACACGAAATCACGAGAAGTATGGAGCTTTGTCGCCGTCAGACAGTGTACGATCATGGGTCGACGAGCCAACAAGGGGGGGGGGGGAAGCGAAACGTCAATGCGACGTCTTCACGAGATGAAGCAGAAAAACGAAGATCAATCCAAAGGAGGAGGAAAAAGGAGATACCTTCGACACCCAGTGAAGAAGAGAGGAGAAATTCGAAGGTTGGCCGCAATGGGTTTGGGCGGATCTCCCTGCAACTCTTTTTTTTTTTTGGGAACTCTTTCTGTCTTAAAACAGATTTCTGCCACGCTCTTATGGAAAAACAAAAAGAGGAATATGCTCGGTGAGGATATTGAGATGAATCCCGTGATAGATTTCAATCTGCTATAATATAGGAAATATATAATATAGGAGTAATATCCGAGCCTGTTATAGGAACACAAATCGTAAAATTCCTAAAAAAGTAAAGAATTTCCAATTTAAAGAAAAGTAAAATCTCAAGTGACCAGGAAAAAACCAGCAAAATAGAAAATAATACGTACCTCTGAGTATATTTTATAATTTTCAATGGCATACCAACTACTTTTAGATGGCTTTTTTATTAATCTCGAGAGGGTTTTGATATGGAGGCGTGTTACAAAAGCAAAAAAGAAAAAAAAAAACACAAAGGAATATATATATTTATGATGCGATTTGGATGGATTTTACATTTGGGACCTCGACAATGATTGTGTTAGGTGCAGTGGGCAGTCAAATCATACACTAATCTTTCGTTTTTTTCTGGGTCGTCCACTCAGCGATTACAGATTCACAATACCCACACTTATTCTGTGAGCATATTTCTAAACTATAGAGTTTCTTTCTTTCAGCACTGCTTTTTTTTTAAGGAATTAGAGATCCATTCTTCTAGCTATCTGCCCAGAAAAGGGGGACTCTCACTTTGGACGGCTTGGCCGAGGGGAGAATTTGGTATCCATGCATCTTCTTTATTGGTATTGAAGGTTAAATGAATTTCCACATAACCTCTATATATATATATATATATTGATTGGGGGCAAGGGAGAAGGCAAAGTCATATGCTTTTTGTCGCTTGTTGGTGGCTCTATCTTGGAAAGAACAAAGAGACTTTTGTTTGGTCCTCATTCCTTTTTTTTATTATGCTTTAAATATCTCTCAGCGAGGTTAAAAGATGAGATGTGTGTCTCTATAGATAGTGTTGACTGTTGAGTTGAGTTTGTGGGGCGGATTACACCAATGATCCCACTTTACAAACACGTGCATTGAGAATGAACTCAAGAGTGATGCTTATCTCTTCCGACAGTGGCATACGGACACTCGGTTCCATGATTGTATCCCGAAGCTGTCTTCATCGTCTACCACTCACGCGACGCTTTGAAAATGAACTGTGTAGATTATTAACACGTGTCGTATGTTGGGTTTTCCAGTTCTAATCAAATACGGAAGGAAAACAGAACCACAAGAAACCTGTCGTCACATCACTACCAACGCTAGCATAGATGTATTGCTTTTGGGTAGGGCTGGTGATGGGCTTTTTATAATATCTAACCCAATTACAAATTGGCCATACCTCTTTCTATTGGATCATCGTGGGCCCAGCAGCCTGATGATGGCCTCACCAATGGTATGCTTTCGTGTTATACCAAATGATGTGGAAATAAAAATGAATGCAACCTCCTATTTGTCTGTGTTTTATATATATATACAGTAGTGTATATTTTCCGAATGAGCATCTAGGCTCATTTGTGATTATAATTTATGAATGAGGAATCGTTGCCACCGAATATTCCTCAATCATGTTTGCTTGATTTCTATAAACAAAAAGGCAATTAAACAATTAATTCAGATGAATCACAACGCCCCGACATCCAAAGCCTACGTGTTGACGCGTCAGTCTCATATTCCACGTGGCGTCATTCGATTGGATTAACTGTGTCTCGAGCATACGTGTCTCGGACCCCAAACCTTCCGTTAATTGCTGGTAAATACGTGATTTCTCCGTCTCGACAAACGCAGTTTTAAAAAGCATCTCATTCGCGAACACTTTTTTTTATAGCAAATCTGATACGTGATGGTAAAAAAAACCGAAAAATAAAAATAAAAAACCCCATGTTTTTTTTTAATAAATCATAGTTTAATCAAGCATCAGATTGCCAATTACAAGATCTAGAAGATAATACATACGCCGAAATGAACGGTCAAAATTAGCCTTTGAGGAATATAATTTCGACAAACCTTGACGCTCCAAAAAAACCATCAACTTGGGATATTTATCATATTTTTTATAAGAAAATACAATTTTTTTTTATGTCACATAAAAAAACTAATTTCTGCCGAAATCAATGGTCGTTAGGCTAACATTTTTAATGGTTTTTGTTTGCAAGTATAAAAAAGAGGTGTTTATGCAGCTGCTCGTCCACGCACGTAGAGAGAGAGGGAGGGAGGACGAGTGGTGGTCGAGATCCGGCGTCGATTCGTCGGGTTTCGTCCATTTGCCCATCGGAAATTCTCCGGTCTCAGTAGCCGTCACCGTCACCGTCACGAAGCAGTCGGAGAAGATGAAGGGTTCGGGCGGTGTTGTCGCCTCTGTAATCGCCTTGTCCACCGTTGCTGTTTCTTCTTCCTCGGCTCCTCCTCCTTCTCCTAATTCCCCCAAGGTTTTTCCTTTTTCTCTTTGTCAGATTTATGGGTTTTGTTTCCAGATCTGTGTTTTTGTTTCCCTTCATCAAGTTTATATTTTTTTTTGGCTTTGCCCAGTGTTAGGCATTTATCAATTTCATTCGTTTACGGGTTTTTAGTGTTGCATCGAATCGTTATTCAGTCAATCCCCGAGATGAATCGGATATTAAAGGAAATGCCTTTTCAATGACATCGTGTTTTAGATTCGATTATTGTCGTTTTTCTGGTGAACCAGATTTCCTTGCCATGGTGTGTTGTGTGGTCGAGGAGTGTATACAGTTCTTTCAATGCTCTTGGGCTTTGTGTAAGTTTGATACTGGGGGTTTGAACTGTTGAATCTTGTTCCATATGATATCGTGTTCTAAGAAATGTTTTGGGGATTGAATAAGGAAACAGGAATCGGAGAGGGGGAAGCTTCTGGCAAATGATTCGCAGCATACGGAGAAATTTGAGCCGAGGTTTGATGGGTTGAGGTTCATTGAGACTCTGATCACAGCCCACAGATAATCCCTTCTTTTATGTTTGACATTGGAAGCATCTGAATCTGTCTTATACGATTGATGTCTAACCCCAGTTTGTCAGTATCACCGCTGGTGCAAATGCTTTAAACTAATGTAGAAGCGTGAGTTGTGTCACGGGAATATTTCAGTACACATGTCCTGTTTTTGTTTTATTAAAGTTTACTGTATCTGTATGTTAGACGTTAACAGGGTGTGTTGTTCTTTTCTTTTGCTGTCGAGGCATTGTTTAGTCGGTCGATGGTACCATTTCTATGCAGGCAAGATATATGGAAATGGGCCTCCTTTTGTCGGCACACTATTGATTTCGCCATGTGGCAATTGCATCCTCGGTCGTGTGTTGCGTACCACACACCATATACACATCCCTACGAAGCCCCATTGTGGGTTCGAACTGTGGTTGCTCACCCAAACCACCTTGCCACCACGGTTGGGCCCACTGTTACCATTTTGTATTTGTCGTGAGGCTGTGCTGCTTTTGTTGATTTCATGCCCGCTGCTGAAAACGAGACGTTCAATGTCTTCCCAAAGTGCAACGCCTGCAGACACCTTTTATTTCTTCCATAGACATGTGCGGCAGCACACAGTGTGACACAGCTACACGACCAGAGTGTAAGAAAGCATCCGTATTTGTTCCAGACAGCCACTTGTATCACTGATCAAATCAGTTCTTCGCTCGTGTCTCCATCACCGTAGACTAACTCCGACTCGTGACAATTGTCTCTTCTTGGTGTATCAACCCAATCAGCGGATAACTTCGCTGTAGATCTAGGATGGATATAGTCGGACCGAAGATACGAGAAACCATCCTGGTTATCAAAATTCCGCGGTAGATTTTTTTTTTTTGGTTTAACTAAATTTCCGATGTGCGTCGATTTATTTTATGAACAACAACTTACCCAAAAATCCCAGAGGCATTGACGTCCAGCTCATCCCAAAAATCAAATCAAAATTACTCTCCTTTTTTAAAAAGTTTTATAACTTCAATTTTTGAAAACCCAGTAATCTTAACTTACAAGTAGTTCTAATTAGAAATCTTGCGTTCGAATAAAAACAAAAGGCAGATGAGATGATTACATAACATTGGCGAAGATGCAAATTTACGAAAGCTGAAGCACTAACGGCGATTAGAGATGCAGAAGGCATCGCAGAGTCTTGCCTTGGTCGAGCATTTGAAACGCTTTGTTAATCTCTTCAAATGGAAGCTGGTGCGATATGAACATGTCCAAATTTACAACCTGCCATCCATAAAATAGGTTTAAGTAGTATACGTCGGTAGATTTTCAAGAGCGAGGAAAGAGGCATACTAACCCCATTCATGCAGTCTGTAATGAATGCAGGCAATTGGGTTTTCCCTTTGAACCCACCGAAGACAGAAGCTGTGATGGATCGCCCTTCGAACAGCTCCATGGGATGAAGTGGAAGCAGGTTTGGGCTTGTATGAACTCCCAGCAGCACTGTCAGCCCTAATCCCTGTTCGCTCATTATTCATACCATTAATTAATTTCTTTTTCCATTTATTACATATAATGAAAGGTTGAAACTACACTTACAGCACGTGTAGAGAGAAAAGCCTCGCGAAGGGCCTCACCGCTGCCAGCGCACTCAAAGCTGTAGTCCACACCTCCCTCCGTAATCTCCCTCACCCTCTGCGGGCGTACGTACGTACGTATCACAAGTTTCTTTCTTCTTTCCAACCCTAGGAAAGGGGACTCCTGCACTAAATATAAAAATTACCTGGTGGGCAGGCCTGCCCTCGTCCTTTGGATTGATGAATTCTGTGATCCCTGCCTCTTTGCCTGTAACACACAAGCATATGATAAGCTTCATTTCTCTTTCAAGTCTCCCGCTAATTTCGGAAGAAATATCGATCCCCACCCATTTTGAACTTTTCGGGGTTGATATCAATCCCTATGATCTTGGATGCTCCTCTTGCTCTCGCACCTTCAGCTACCTGTCTCGTTTATGGCAAATATAACATGGAATAGTTTATATTAGGGGTGGACAGGTAACCACAATTTTTAGGGTATCCGAACCCAAATCCGAACCCGAAAAATAACACATTTTAAAATTTGAACTCGAATCCGAATTTTCGGGTATCCAAAATATATTAGATAATTTTCGGATACCCGCAGATACACGAATCCAAAAATTTTTAATTATTTTTTTTAAAAAAATTTATAAATTTATAGATTTTATACAAATAATTCATAAAATTAATAAAAATAATTAAAAATATTTATATTTAAAATGATTAGATAATAAAATAATAGTTTATATATATATATATAAATATAAAATTCAAGATAATTGATAGATATTTTTATTAATTTTAAAATTTTAAATAAATCATATTTATTTTTTATTATTCGGATACCCGCGGATAATTATCCGATCCAAAAGTGTAAATCCGAATCCGAAACCGAATTTCGGATTTTAGATATTTTAAAACCTGATCTCTATCTCAAAGTATAACGGGTACCCGATTTTCGAATATCTGATCTTCGGGTCGGGACGGATACCCGATTTCCGGATAATTTTGGCCACCCCTTAGTTTATATAGTAAAACCATGGGAAAAACTTACGGCGAGTCCAACAGCGCCCAATCCAAACACAGCCACGGTAGATCCATGTTGTACATCAGCCACATTCCACGCAGCACCCACTCCTTCATAATACCCACAGATTATTTGCCATATAATCTTACGTATATACGCAACAACAAAAAAAAGGGAAAATGACATTTTCCTACACGAATTTATCAAAATGTGACATTTTCCTACACGGATTTTTAATTTGACAAATGTCTACACCCAATTAACAAATTTTCCAAATACCTACACGAATTATCCAATTTTAGTGCAATTAACTACACAATCCAAAATTATCAATTAATTGCTGACGTGACATGCCACGTGGCGGCTCACATGGCATGCCACGTGGGATTTTGGCCATGTCAGCGCGAATTAAAAAAATAAAAATAAAAAATAAAAATATATTTGTATGTATGCATATATATATATTTTTTAATTTTATAAAAAAATTAAATTTATATACATACAAATATATAAATATATATCTGTATATTCATATATATATATATATATATACAAATACAAATATAAACATATATATATATACAAATATATATACATATACATATACATACATACAAATATATTTACATATGTGTATGTGTGTATATAAAAATTTTTATTTTTATTTTTTTTAATTCGCGCTGACATGACAAAAAAAATCTCACCTGGCATGCCACGTGAGCCGCCACGTGGCATGCCACGTCAGCAATTAATTGATAATTTCAGATTGTGTAGTTAATTGCACTAAAATTGGATAATTCGTGTAGGTATTTGGGAAATTTGTTAATTGAGTGTAGACATTTGTCAAATTAAAAATTCGTGTAAAAAAATGTCACATTTTGATAAATTCGTGTAGGAAAATGTCATTTTCCCCAAAAAAAACAATTTCAATTACCGGTGGAGACACCGCAGCTCAGGAGGCTCATCTTTTCAAGAGGGAGGAAAGGATCAAGCTTAACCAGACAGGCCGAATCTATGACAGTGTACTCAGAAAAGGTTGAAGTGTTCAGAAAATGGTAAATAGGTTTGTGGTCTTTGGTGGAGAATCTTGTGTTCCCGTCACTTGCCATGACTTTCTTCATTGGATTCACTTGAAATCTGTCACAGAGATTAGCTTTGCCTCGTTTGCAGATTCTGCATTCACCGCACTCTCCGTTGAATATCGGGATGACGTGGTCTCCGGCCTTCATGTCCCCTACACCTTCCCCTACACTCTCCACTACCCTACAACATACATACACACATACATCTCTCGGTGTCATTAATGAAGGGGCAAAGAATTAACCAAAGCATTCAATTGTTTTTACCCTGCTGCTTCATGGCCAAGAATGCGAGGGTATGCTTGCTGGGCCTCGTTCTGCCAAACAAGAAAACATAGTGAGACAGAGATTTTCTAGGGCATATATCTAACGGTAAAATGGACGTGTACCTCTCCTTTCCATGCACTTAGATCGGTGTGGCAGATTGAAGTGAAGAGGATTCTAACCCTAACCTCCAGTGCCTTGGGAGGATCCACCTGAACTTGTTGTATGACAAGAGGTTCTTCCGGACCCCATGCCACAGCAGCTGCAAGCAACCACACGGAAACGACTCTAGTAAACATCCAAAAGTTGTGGACTTTTGAGGCATAATGAAGGAAGAGCACACGAAACAAGGGAATATCCTTGGATACAAGGGAGATCTTTAGTTCTTGTTTCCCATGGAAAAAGGGTCGTCAAAGAGTTAAAATGCGAGAGATGGCGAAATTGATCAGACCACATATAAGTATAAAAAGAAAACTCAGATAGAGGAAATAGGAGATCTAACAGATGGAGATTACAACCTCTGCAGATTATAACTTTGCCAAGAGTGTCACCAGCAGCAGAAGCAGCTGAAAGCTCCTCTTTTGACAAACCCCCATTCATCGGCTTCTCTATCTAACCCACAGACTTCTATTTCGTAATCTCGAGAAAGATGTGACATCCGCTTGGGTATCCGTTCATATATACACACATGGATACAAATATCAAAGTCCAAGCGTACGCATGCATGGGGGGCCATTACCTATTTATTTCTCAAAGACTTTCCGTCTCTACGGAAGATATTTGCATTCATCGACTTTTCGTTGCAGCTGAATTTTCTTTTCATATTCCGAGATTTTTCTGACCCCTTGAAAATGTGTCACCCATTCCGATAAGTAAATTTCTTATCTCAAATCCACCGCTCTCCGGAAATATTGTGTGTGTGTGTGTGTGTTGATAAACAGTTTTCACAATCCAGAATTATTTACACGAAAGAACCTGCCGAAGCATGAATGAAACGAACGAAGGCCCATCGCATTAACTGAGTATGCATGCCCCTTTGGGTGCGACATGACGTCTACCCCCGACCCAGTCCACGTCGCGGTGCACATCGTATTAAATGCCCCCAATCACAATATTTAATTCGGGAACTCATCTTATTTCTAGGGTCGGATGTGTACCTCTATTTGAAACGGATTTTTTTCCCTTGTATTGCTTTGAATATCGATTAAATCAACCACCGCGCCTAGATAATGAATGCCCCTAATTAACATTTAATCTTTTTTGGTAAAGATTAACATTTAATGTTGATATATACATAACTATACATGTACATAGAACTTACTTGGATGAATAATGGTTGTTCCGTCAAATAAATATATGGAGATGGCCTTCACGAGTTTGTCGGGACAATTAACGTGGATATAGTGTTAGTAGGGCCTACATCTTTCATAATATCTCAAAAAAAGGTCATTTAATGGCCACTTGCTTATCGAAATCGTAAGCGGAAACTAACTCTGAATATGGACAGCGGCGGTCGTAAATGATTCCAAACAAGAGAAGAGTCAACATTGACTCGGTATCCGCTTTGACCATTTTTTTTCCATGACACATGGAACTCTCCAGATGACTCGGAAGGTTCCTCACACAAAATCGGTGGAATTTGTTTATGTTTTTCTCCCTAATTTCTCTTAATTGCTTCGGATTTTCATATCAAATTTTGTAGCAAAATTTTTTAACTTTTTTTTGAAACAGTTGTGAATATTCGGCATTGAACATAAGGAATTGATACAAATAGAAATAAAGCAGCGCGCAGATGCTGAGGGTGAGGACTCAAACTAGCTTCGATGAAAATAGTTTAAGCATTCAAATTGGAGACGTTTAATTGCATGCATCTCTCGCTTGTGCCCTTCAAACGTCTCGCTCTCCAGAGTTCTGATGTGTGTATATATATATATGCACTTGGTTCGTGCAATAAGCCATCACTCTTCATCGGCTTTTTTAGATGTGAAAAGACATGGTGGAATGGCATTTGCCCTTCTTCATGAACCAAGAAAGAAGACAACTTCCGAAGAAGAATTCTCAGACAATTCAACTTTGAGATTCAGAGATCTTCATTAGTTCAGTGTGTTACTTGTGTCTCACGTCGTTCATGAGTTAAGCAATGCAGGTCAGCTTAATTCAATGACAATGACAAGTACGCCTTCTGTTAAATATTGGCAGAAAAATGTAAAAAAATATGATTATAACTATAAAATCAATTAGTAATTGTAAGTCAGAATAAAATATGAGAGAATTGCATGGTGATGCTTTCGGCAGAGATAGGGACATTTTTTTTCACCATAAACCCCTTTTAGAAGTGTGGTTACTTTGAATTTTGGATAAGTTAATCAAATTAAGCAACTGTGAAATTTGGTGTGAATCTGCACACGGTCAAGCAAAATCAAAATGATTAACCATGACTATATCGACATTTAAAAAAAACAGGGATTGAGTAAATCTATGATATTAGTCTTATACATATAGACGGTGTTAAATTGGGGGGACAATATATTGGATACAATGATTAATATATTGTCACAAAACCCACCATGAGATGGTCTAGTGGTTGAGTTGAGGTGGTTAACACTTCAAGGTCAAGTGTTCGATCTTTAGTAGCGAAGAGGGAGAATTTCTGGACTAATTTAGCCCATATACAAAGACTATTCACGGACAAAAAATATATCTATACAACGCATCCGAAAGATAGTAGTTAGGACTCCTCCCTTATTAAAAAAAAAATATACTGTCACAACGAAACTGTTGTTTATTATTATGAATAAAGAGAAAGTGCAAAAAGCCTTAAAAGGAGTGAGTGGCACTTGATGGTAGTCTTTGCCTTGTTGACTGAGAGTTTGACCCTTTTTTCTTTATTAGTTTAGGATCCTTCGAGATAAGTAAAGCAACAATGCGTGGACCCTTCATTACACTTTCCTTTTATTTCATTTTTTTATTCACATTTTTTTTTGGCGTTTTAGTAAAATATTGGACTACCAACAAGAACACAAAGCCACTCACTCGTCTTCCTTTCTCTTTTTCTCCCACTTTTCCTTAAAAAACAAAAAAAAAGAAACATGTTAGTGCAATTATTTGCACGAATTGTTTTAGTTGTTAACTGGATAATATGGTTTCAACAATTTTGAAAGATTTCAGAAGAAAAATCCGGAGAGATAGAATTCGAAAAAATCTGAGATACGTTTGTAGAGTTTCAGATAGAGACAAAGACTTGAAGAGATAAAATCAAATACTTGAAAAGATAAAGATAGAAATGAGATCTTAAAGATAGAGACAAAATCAGAGAAAATCAAGGGCAAAATTATCAGATCAATTCGTGAAAATCTAAGGCGAACAAGATGAACCTATATAAAGAGAAACAAGTGCAAAGCTCTAAAGAGAATAAGAGTATATTTATACTAAAAGAGAGTTTTTCTGTGGGTTAGTGATTACTCATTGTAGATTAAGTGTGAGTTTAAAGAGTAAACCGATTGGACAAATCTTTTTTTCTCAGATGAATGTTTTATGTTGTGGAGTTTTTTATCAGTAGAATTCATCATGAGAGAGGAAGAAAATCAAAGAGAATTTTGTCTGTGTATCGAATGTAATTCTAACAATACATGAGTTGTTAACTGTTTTTCTTAAATGAATAGAATTGGTTAATTTTACATTTACTCGAAGTCCAAACTTTTTCTAAACCAACCATTAATTGGTAGTTTATAAATTGATTGTCGACGGGTGCCAAGAAAGATACAATAGACACACCCGCAAAGAATCTAGTTAAAGTAGGTATTCTTAGTAACCAAAGTACTCGAAGAGAGATTTAAAAAAAAAAAAACTGAAAGTGATTTGCTTATTCATCAGCAAAATGCAAAGGAATGCGCAATATAAATATAAATAACAAAAAAAAAAAAACGATCGGCGAAAGATTCCCCATCTTTTTTTTTTTGGTAAGGAAGATTCCCCATCTTTCGTTTCATGCGCGCGGCTTTTGAGCCTATGTATATGTGTGTGTACTTTCAACGTATTATATATGCATGTGCAAGAAACATATTGCCTACCAGTTATAAAAACAGAGAGAGACCATATGGGAAATTGCTTGTTCGGAGGGTTAGGCGACGAAGGAGAGGTGATTAAAATAATAAAATCCGACGGTGGAGTTCTCGAGTTCTGCGTTCCCGTCACCGCCGGCAACATCACCGACGAGTTCCCCGGCCACTCCATTTTCCCTGCCAATAATGAGCATATTCTCTATCAACCCTTTTCTCACGACCATAACCTCGTCCCTGGTCAGTCCTACTATCTCTTGCCAGCAGCTGATGATCATTCGGACAAGATGACTGTCGGGGGGAGCAGCCACGTCAGATCCAACAGCGAGACCTTGCCGGCGATTACTCCCTACAGAATGTCATTGGACTATAATAACAAGAACCAGAGGGCGTTGAAGAGATGTTACACGGAAGTGTTGTCAAGGAACTATTACAGAGCCCAAAAGCAGAGGAAGTGGAGTGGGAGAAGTGGAGTGTGGAAAGTGAAGCTGGCCATCAGCCCACAGCAGCTTTTGAACATTCTCTCTCACGACGGGACAACTCTTGACCTCATGGAGAGCATCAGAGCCGTTGCGAACTGCGGAAACGCAGCCCCTTCGTCCTCTTCCTGCTCGTCTTCTTCTGTGGCCTTCTCCGATCAGTGGAGTCTATCCAGCAGCAGAAATGCTTCCTCTAAGAATGATTTTGATCCCAAGACACTTCATGATGAGGACAAATATTAGTCGGTACGGTTCCTTTTATTCACATCAGCCATATGCTGTCCTTTTTAAAAGCTGTATAATCATAGGGCGCATCAACTCCATATCTCTAACATAATATATCGTGTTTTGCTCGTTCAAGCCCAAATAAGAGGGCTCTTGTTTCCCAAGCAAGAGTAGTGGGTCCTTAATATCTTGTTCCAGCGCGCGGGAGAAAAAGGCACAACAAAAATCAACCACTAGAAATTCTCTAATCATAATAGCAATGCGTTGTGCTTCCACCAATTATCAAACGTAAGGCAAGGCTTGAGTATACTAAAACGTTATGCGCAACCAGCAGTAATACACATTCTATCCAATACAAAGGAGTCCATATAAGTATCATAAGAAATCAAAACCAAAACAGTCTCTGCATTTTGTGAATGATGATACGACTTGATTTGATCACCCGGCCAGCTTCAATCTCAATCTCAATCTTGTTCAAGAAAGTTTGTATCTTCACCAGTCCCAGAGATTCCAGCCATTGACTTACAATTCAAATTCGTCTTCGAGCTTCAGGGCCTCTGCTGCAGCCTCTTCCTCCTCGTCATCAACCACAAAGTAAGGGTTGTGCACCTCTGGCCTGAACTTGTAGCCCGTAAAGATGTAGAACGCAAGTGTGGCCACCTCTCCGGCAACCACACTGGTCCAGAGGTACTTGTAAGAGGTAATGGTCTCCAAGGCATAGACAACGACACGGGTGAAGTAGATATAGCAGATAACGACAATGTAGTATTGCCTAAACAAAGTCAACTTCATCAAGTTAACAGCAGCCTTCCCGTCAGTCTTGGCCGCCTCCCGCAAGTTTTTGATCGACCAAACAATCGGAAACAGAACAGCACAGCAGCAAATGACATCAACAAGCAAAAAGATCTGTTTCCATGTGATCCAGTCATGGCCATACGGCCCGGTCTCATCGATAACCACCTGGGCAATGTTAGCCACGACCTGGAGGGGAATAACAATCATCAAGACCTTCTTTTCCTTGTCCTGCAAGTATGGCTTCAAGAAGGACCATCCCGTCCCGATCAAGACGATCAGAGTGAACAGAGTGATTCCCTTTAAGAAACTGAATATGTAGAACAACACATCCCAACCGTGAGCACTTCCAGTTCTCTTGACGTAGGATTTATCCTCAGCCTCACACAACAGGTTCAAAGCTTTCAAAACCACAACGCCCAACATGAAGAAATGGATGGCGAAGACGGTGAGGCGTTTCCTATACAGGACGTAGATCCAAGTTCCCGCGAGAAAGAAGTATACCAGAAAGAAGAAGAAATAGACCTTGGGAAGGCCGGTTTTTCCGGCGGAGAGGTAATCCCGGCGGCCGCTCTTTTTTTCGAGGTTGTACATGGCGGATCTGACATCCATGCTGACTTTGACCTGCTGCAGGCAGTTAGCGAAGACCAAAGAGTACTGATCGGCGTCGTTCTCGGTGAACACGGTGTCGAAGCTGCTCTTGTCGCCTTTGAGATTGTTGAAGGTGAAGACATGCTTCACCAGATCCGACTTGAGAGCGCATGTCACCTCCCTTTCCTCCAGCTGCTGAATCACGTGAAACCAAGCGTCCCTTGTGCAGAGGAAGAATCCGACCTTTGACAGATCCAGATCAGGGTTATCAGTCGAGAGCGAGATCTTCGAGACGTTGAGCTCGAGTCGACCCATGTGAGTGAACCCGAATTCGTCCAATGGGATGATTGGTCGATCATCGGATCGGATCTCCGTTGACCGGATCTCGGCGAAGGCTCCAGAAATCGAAAGAAACAAGAAGAGAGCTAAGTAGAGAGGAGGCAGATCCATGGAGGATTTCGCTAGGGTTTGATTCCCAAAGAGGAATTTCAGATCCAAGAACGATTGGACTCCTTCTGGTTTGGATCGTGAAATTACAGAAATTGAACCAGAATGGATCTCTTGGCCCAAGCAGCCAACTTTGTCTCTTCGTCTGGAGCGAAAATGGTTGAAAATTAACAAATTTTCAAGAGAAGAGTCGAGGCGAAGGAAGAAGACTGATTCCAACGCTTTGCGAAATGACGAAACTGGCCTCGAGACTTTTCTAAAATACGAAAGGACAATAGCGATGTTGTCGGGACATCAGCGTGGGCCAAAAGGTAATTTTACAACATTGAAGAAGAAAATTGGAGTGAAAACCCATGGCTTGGAAGCTAAGCAAATGCATTTGATTTTTTCTTTGGGATACTTCAGAAGTCGCAAAACTTTACAAGTACGTTATAGTTTTGATAAAGAGCTTCTATCCTTTTGGAACAATTTACAAAAGCAGCCGACGACCTAACAAAGTTTACGTAGGTGTTCATACCAAAAAAAAAAAAGTTTACGTAGGTGATGTGAATTGATACATCTATATATATATATATATATTATATATGTAATAATTAATATATCATCTATGATTATCTTGATTCATGGAAATATGTAAATTACAGAGTAGAGTACGAAGAATGGTTGGTTTCAGCACATAAAGATTCAGAAGCTTTAAGGTAAGTTGATTACATCAGAAAGATTGTTGTGGGAGAAGAAAGCGAGAACGCCGACAAAAGGAGCGTTGATGTAAGTGGCGGGTTCAGATTGCTGATAATTGCTGCGATCGTCGTTGAACCTGTCACTGTTGTCAGGACCTCCAACAATGGCGCCGACGAGGAGGTTAGGGTTAGGGGAGTTGGAGTACAGGTACTGAAACCCGGAGTTGCAGTCGATGGGAAGAGGGTGGGAATGAATGGAGGGGACAGAAGATGCTCGATGATGCAGATGCTGCGGATATCGGTCGCCGAATCCAACCATGTAAGACATTTTCATGGGATTACGGCCTAGAATGTAGTCAACTTGCTTCCTGGCCTGAGCTACGATCTGGGACGCTGTGACAGTGGAAGTGCCGCAAGTGATGGATCTGTCGCCGAGGTACTTGGCGTACGCGAGGAGGAGGAAAGTGGAGGACGTGACGTATTGGAGGTTGCTTTCTCCTGCTTTGTAGAGAAGACCGCCCGGTGTGTATTGGTTCTGGAAGCTAGAACTTCCAGGGATGAAGGAACATATGTAGTTGTCCGCATGCGCTTTGTACAGTTGAAACTCTGCTGTGTTTGTCTCTAAGACGTCCTGCAACAATCCAATCCAATCCAGATTGTTGTTGTAGAAGAAGAAGAAGAAGAGAAAGA